GTAGGATCCTATTTGCGCAAATAAAGAAGTTTTTGATACGTATTGCACTATGAGAGGCATGTTTTTTCTTTCATGACCTTGTCTGGCACTACACTGTGAGTTTTCATTCGAGTTGGAGTCCAGGAAGTTCTATGTTTTGGGGCATGATACAAGAAGCCTGCCAGTGCTCTACATTATAAAGCTGGTTGGGACCCCTGTAATTAAGGGGTCTCCATTTTTGGTAAGCCTTCATTCATTACTTTGGTGGTGGTGTGCACTCTGGTGACCAGTTGAAGCAAGTTTATCTACATTTGCACTTATAGCATTGTCTACAATAATACCATCGATTGTGGAATTTTCTTCTCATGCTCATGGACTATGGTTTATGTCTATATTGACTTTTTGTTTTTTTTTTTTTTGTTTTGTTTTTGAAAATTTTCTACTAACCTTTTTGTATATTTGAGGTTTTGACCTATCCTCAACTTCGATCACTCTTCAGAGGTGTGAGGATCTTCATAGGGCTCATACATAATGCATGATATTTTAGGTTAATTTGACCCCATATCACGATTTCTTACATGTATTTATGATTACTGTACTCACTCAGTGTATTCAATCAATTTTTTTCAAATTTTGACCGCCCTTCAGAGGGGTGAGGGTCTTCCTAGGGGATATGTATGTACTTATTTAGTTTCCCTATTACAGTGTTTTATTTTCAATTTTTGATAATTGTTTAGAGGTGTGAAGGTCTTTATAGTGCTCATAAAGTTTTAAAGGTTCACCTAGCACAGTATCCATTTGAATTAGTCTTTTAAGAGACGATATCCTCTTATATACTTGCAGCTTTGTGACTTCAGTTGATTGGGGATTTGCGCGGTTTGATCTTACAGTACATACAGGTGATATAAATGCCCTCCACCGGATGTACTCTCACCTGCAGTGTATGACTGAACCATAAGGTCATATAGCACTTGCGTCCCTCATGTAGGACTCATAGTAGCATTCCCATATAAAATTGATCAATCCACTTCTTCTCTTTTGGCTTTATGTACTGCTATGTTGTTTTAACTCCAGTAAGAAGTCCTCCTCAGCCATACATATATAAAGAGAGAGACCACCAAACAGTGTGCTTTTCCTTTAAAATCTCTTTATTGCCCATTAAAAAATACTTCCAGTTATGCAGTCACATTTAACAGGTGCCTTAGTGCACCACACTATTCCACACAAGTTATGTCCAGCATTAACTTTAGTCCGTGTATTCAGCTTATAACAGTGTATAATTACCACACTGTCTAGTGTTCGGAGCATTTTGATGTCATCAAGTCCCTCCCCTACGTGTTACGCCACAAGGTCATGTGGCTTCAACAGGGGATAGGATCATATCCCCCCTGTCACTGAATAAAATGATTAGCTTACAGTCCTGTTTACAGGTTGTGTTTTCTTTGCTTCAAAAATTATACCCCTTGTCACTTTAGTGGTACTTCAAAGTGTCTTCAAAGCCTCCATATAAGTTGGTGACAAAGCTCGCTTACAGCACCTGCAGCTTTTGAGAAGCTTTTATTCAGCTTTAGCTTTGCTTTGTTTTGAAGGTATTGCAGTTATGAGATATAAACACACACACAGGGCATCTGTCAAGCTTCATTAATGCTTCAAAAAGCATCAATGAAGCATCATCAAAGCATCACAGAAGCATCAAAAACACATACAAAAAGCATGTTGAAGCAGTAGGCGCTTTAATGTGTATTGAAGTCGAAGCAAGTATAAACAAGCCCTAAGACCAAGAACTGAGTGATCACATGACAGCTGCTCACTCTTCTCATTCTTCTTGGAGCATGTGCTTTTCTGATTCACTGCAACAAGGAAACAGGAAATTTAATTTCATAAAAAGACATAGAGTTTACCAGAGATGCAGCTATATACTTTTAAACGCTGCCATCTACTGGTTGAAGAATATATGTCCTAAATTGTAAGGTCCAAGGAGCAGGGCCCTCAAATCCCTCTTGTATTGAACTGTATTGTTACTGTATTGTCTCCCGTTATATTGTAAAGCGCTGAGCAAACTGTTGGCGCTATATAAATCCTGTATAATAAAAATAAACTCTACTGAATACCAATGTAGTTGTTTGCATTTCAACACCCTCTCATTGGAATGCTGGGCTGGAGAGGGACAGCTGAGAACTGAGAACAGGAGCCAGCTGTCAATCACACATCTGGGTTGGTCCTGACATTATGGTTGGAATCCTTCCAGAGCCTGAAGCAGTCTTGCAATGTCAGCTGACAGTGAGCTATAGCCCACTAAAAGCCACCTCTGGGTCACAAGAGTGCAAAAGTAAATGCCCTCACGTGACCCACAAGAGAATTATGGCCAAAAAAGCTTTGGTCATACATTTCTTTTATAAAAAGATGCACATTTAAACATTGTGAAAATTAGTTTTGAATATACGTTAACACAATAAAGTTTATAGAAGATTTAAGCAAATGGATGTACATGCTAGTGCTTTTTTATTGAATACATCACTTCTTAAAATGTTTGTTCTGCATGTGACTGTGGTTAGTGTGTGTTTATGGCTGGGAATTTATTGGTTAATGTATTTTACATTTCCTAGTCACCTTACTGATCTCCCCAATATATTTAGCTAAAAGTGAAGTGCCCTTTAACATAACATATCATACTGAGACAAAGCTCAGACCAGAATTAAAGAAATATAGATACTCTACATAGTTGATGTAATTATTTCCATAGCCATAGGGCACCTTCGAAGATGTTGACTGTTCAGTACCTGTGAACTGAATTGCTGAGATCCTTGCAGGTTTTTGCAATGTGTTTGAAAGGAAATATTTGATAACAATACTTTAAACACAGTTTCAGATTCAAAGCCATTTTTAACAGACTGTGGGATGCTGCTGAGTCAAATGCAAAAAAACAGATTCCTGTAGTTCAAAAGGAACTTTATTCATTTATATCAAAGAGAAAGGAAAGATAATTATGCCGTAGAAAAAAAGACTGCCAAGATCAGGAACGCTTCACATGCAATTTAATTTGTTTCAAATATATTTCTAATTCATTTATTTTCCCTTCCTTCCCTATTAATAGACTACTAAATATAGCAATTCTGAGGAAATGTAATTACTGTTTAAGTGAAAACTTAAAGATGTGCAGGATGTAAAAGTGCAAACGTTAAATACATTTCTCTTCTAAGTCCAGTACAGGTGGGCTTATTTAATAAGACAAGTGCAAAGTGTACTATCATATTAATTCTTTAGAATCAATGTATTGCTGGTCTTATTACACTGTTCAACAAATTTTTATTTTTTGCCAGTTTTGGAAACAAAAGGATCCATTTCTTAATGAATTTCACATTCTGAGTTCAAATATAACAATGAAATTTGTCAATTGGCTCTAGTTTTTCTGTAAATGGAAAGTTTTCTACTATAGGCGTAATGACTACATAATGCACAATAATTATATAGATAGATGTCTTTCCACAAATATAAAGCAAGTGATATTGACTACATAACAAAGCCTAAATGACATAATATATTGCATAGGATTACCAAGAAAAATTATAGCCATAAGCTAAGTTGAATCATTTTAATACTTAGGATTCTCACTAGTTTTGTCTTCAGTTTGTGTCGGTTTTGCTTCTCTTGGCTTTTCTCTTGTATTCGAGGAAAGGGCTATCTCTTACAACTGCACGTGACTACACGCTTCAGGTTCTTCCTCACTTGACTCAACCACGAAGGATTCTGGTGCTTTAGGAATTGGTAGCCCCTCTCCATGAGGAACTGGACGTATTGCCGATGGAATATTTGGATAGTGCACAGATAACTTTTTCTTCTTATTTAGCCCTTTTACAATTGGAGGCACCATACAAAAGTAACAATTACTAACATGATCTGTTGGCTCTCTCCAAATCATTGGCACAGCAAAAGGCATAGATGCCTTTTTTTCCATTCAACCATTGCTCCAGTGCCGTCCCACAAGAATTGCAGCATATATGTGGTGCCCAGCTCTTGTCCTGGTCTCCTATCTTGCAGCCAAAATACAAGTTGTAGGCTTTCTTAATCATTCCTGTTATCCTCCTTTTTTGTGAGATAAAAGTTATTTCACCGCAGATATAGCAGAAATTATCTGCTTTATTCACACAAGTTCGAGGCATTACTGAGTAGCCTATATAAGCATAAAACGAAATGTAAAGACGCTGTCGAACTACAATCAGCTACAGATACTGCAGCTTTTATGCAGTGAAGTGATGCAATTAAAGGCTAATATTGCATCATCTCAGTATACATGCAATTTTCTATTGGTCACCAGTATCAATTGCGCAATATGCAGCTGAAGTTGCATCATAGTTTTGAATGGCTTACGTCATTAGATGGGTGAATATATCATGGAAACTAGAGCCAATCAACATTTTTTAGGGTCATTTTCGTTTTCAGCACCCCAAAATTATGTAAGATTAGCTAATTTTATGCCCAAAACTTTTTACCTGTTGAACAGTGTTACAGTAAAAACATATCTGCTTGATTGCTATATCTTGCTGCAATTTCCAAAACATAACTTTCACTGTTTTATTAAACTGGCCATTATGAATTTTTTTACATTTTATCCTTGCATTAGAATTCTTGAAATACAGTAAGCAAGTGATAATTTCTTTAACATTCATGCATGCAAGACACATACTGACTAAAAATAAAGGATTGTCTGCATGGACTTTGTTTAATGGACTGAACAATTTCCTTGATGTCATCAATTTTCTTAGGAGCTAACATATTTAGATCATTTTAATGGTACACTCAAGAGTATTTAGGGATAAATTTATGTTACCAGAACAGGTAACACAAAAAAGGTGCAGTGAGCCCTGTCCCTTTCTTATTTATGATTCAAGCAGGATGACTTGCCTAAATATGGAACCGAGGTAGCTTACACATTGCGACTTTCATAACTCAGAGGTGAGAAGATGCAAGACAGCAATCAAAGAATAGATGTGCCTCAGTACAAAAAAACCTTTACTAGCTCCCAGGGGCGGACTGACCATTTGGAAACTTGGGCACTGCCCGAGGGCCCGGGGTCAGTAAGGGGCCCCATGAGATGCCCCTGGTACCTTTTTCATAGGCTTTTTTGAGTTTGGGCAAGGACACAGGGACCCCATGATCCTCTATTGCCCGGGGGCCCCATGAATTGTCAGTCCACCCCTGCTAGCTCCCCTCCCCACTTATCTATCATACCCAGGGCTGCAGACTTTGTGTTTACCTTGGGGAATTCAGCCTTGGGCAGCCAAAGAAGCATTAGGTGATGCATGTGAACTGTAGATGTGGCAAAAGTGTGTTAACAGTGGGAGAAGTTTAAATCTTGAGCCTACTCACTATGTACATGGTAATATAAGACACAGTTCTTGTACACACAAAATAATATTTAAATACTGTGCCACAAGTGAGTGTCTAAATGACACATATGAACCGCAGCATGATCATTTGTAAATAATGAAACTCTTCCATTAGACAAGCTTACCTTGAAGAACTTCATCAACATAGTCGGTGACTACGTAGCAACCAGAAATTGATGTACAATATATGGAATGCAGTGGCGAGGAGTATGAAACATGCAGTATAGTGTGCAGGGGTCAGGAGAACATATAGCACTGGTCGGTATGGATGGGCTCGAAAATCGGCCATTTGTGTGTTCACCCAACACACAAATGATAAGGACATTCACAGTGCATTGTGAGTGCCATGTTTGGTCAAAGCAATGTGCCTGACCAAAGGTCAGGTGCAATGCTTGTGTCAATCACAGCACAATTGGGTGGAGCTAATGGTGACATCACCGCTAGCTCTACCCAATTGTTTACATCTGACAGGCAAATGTAAGACATGTAAGGCCTGTCAAATTGCAGTGAGTGCTCGGTGGGTGTGGACGGGTTGGCGGGCATCGGGTTCCTAAAAATTTTAGCGAGTTGGCGTCATCGTTTCATAGTTACATGGTTAGTCTGGCTGAACAAAGACAAAAGTCTATCCAGTTCAACCACAAAAAAAAAAAAGTTATAATCCTATACCTACAGTTGATCCAGAGGAAGGCAAAAAAAACCCCAGCAAAGCATGATCCAACTTGCACCTGCTGGGAAAAAATTCCTTCCTGATCCCCCGAGAGGCAATCGGATATTCCGTGGATCAGCTTTACCTCTAAATGTTACTATCCAGTTATATTCTGTGTATCTAAGAAATAATCCAGGCCTTTTTTGAAGCAATCCACTGAGCTGGCCAAAACCAACTCTTGAGGGAGTCCATTCCACATTTTCACAGCTCTCACTGTAAAGAAACCTTTCCGTGTTTGGAGATTAAATTTCTTTTCCTCCAGACATAAAGAGTGCCCCCTTGTCCTCTATGTTGACCTCAGGGTGAATAGCTCTACACCAAGTTCACTATATGAACCACTGATGTATTTATTCATGTTGATCATATCCCCCCTTAATCTCCTCTTCTCAAGAGAGAATAAATTCAGTTCCTCTAATCTTTTCTCATAACTGAGCTCTCCATGCCTTGTATTAGTTTAGTTGCCCTTTTCTGTACTTTCTCCAGTTCCCCAATGTTCTTTTTGTGAATTGGTGCCCAAAACTAAACTGCATATTCCAGATGAGGTATTACTAATGATTTGTACAGGGGTAATATGATATCTCTCTCTCTGGAGTCTTTACCTTTTTTAATACAAGAGAGGATTTTGCTCACTTTAAAAGCCGCAGCTTGGCATTACATGCCATTATTAAGCTTGTGATCTACCAGAACCCCCAGATCCTTCTCCACCATTGATTCCCCCAGTTGTACTCCCCCTAGTATGTATGATGCATGCATATTCTTAACCCCCAAGTGCATAACCTTACATTTATCAACATTAAATCTCATTGGCCACGTAGTTGCCCAATTAAACAGTGCATTGAGGTTGGCTTGTAAGTTGAAGACATCCTGTAAGGACGTTATTCCACTGCACAGCTCGGTGTCATCTGCAAAGACTGAAATGGGATTTTTAATCTCAGACCCTATATAGTTTATAAATATATTAAAAAGTAAGGGTCCCAACACTGAACCTTGGGGTACACCATTGACAACCCTAGACCATTCAGAGTATGAATCATTAACCACTACTCTCTGAATACGATCTTTTAGCCAGTTTTCTATCCATTTACATAAGGATTTTTCCAAGCCCAACTGTGTCAAATGCTTTTGCAAAATCCAAGTATACCATGTCCACCGTCACCCCTCTGTCCAAGGTTTTGCTCACCTCCTCATAAAAAGAAATCAGATGTGTTTTACAACTTCTGTCTTTCATGAATCCATGCTGTCTGTTGCTTAAAATATTTTTTTCCAGCAAGAACCCATCTATGTGGTGTTTTTTTAAATTCTCCATTATCTTCCCAACTATAGAAGTTAAAGTAACAGGTCTGTAATTACTTGGTAAAGATTTTGACCCCTTTTTAAATATTGGCACCACATTGGCCTTACACCAATCCAGTGATACTATGCCAGTCATTAAAGAGTCCCTAAGAATTAGAAACCATGGCTTTGAAATGACAGAGCTCAATTCTTTAAGGACCCATGGGTGTATGCCATCCAGTCCAGGTGCTGTATTCACCTTTATTTTGTCTAAATATTTTGGATCATATAATTTGTGAGCCAATGTGGATCATCTGGAGCTGTGTCAATACCATGCCCATTATGGACAAGAGCTCCCCCATGCTCCTTTGTATATACAGAGCTAAAGAAGGTATTAAATAAATTTGCCTTCTCTTTGTCCCCAGTCACCCACTCTAGATTATTCTGTAAAGGGCCTACATGCTCAGACCAAACCTTTTTACTATTAATGTATTTGAAGTATTTTTGGCGTTGGTCCTGCTATCTTTTGCAATCTGTCGTTCGTTTTCAATTTTTGCAGCCTTTATTTCCTTTTTGCATATTCTGTTATATTCTTTGTAATGTTTAAACGATGATAGTGTTCCTTCATTGTTATATTGAATAAAAGCTCTTTTCTTATTATCTGTATCTGTATTAGCTGTAAGCCACGTAGGTTTGATTTTTAGCCTTTTAAACTTGTTGCGCATGGGAATATATTTTTCAGTGTGTTCACATACAGTCTTTTTGAAGAACTCCCATTTCTGTGTCGTATCGTGACAACGCTGGACATAGTGGTAGATGATGGACAACAACAATGGATCCATTTTTTCTGCTTTTTTGTTTAAATTAAAGGATATGTCAAAAACTGTTGTTTTGTTTTTTGATCAATTAAAGGAATTTTTCAAAAGACTGGTCTCTTTGTTTTTTTTTTCCAAATTGAACCCTTTAATGAATGGTTAGGGTTACAAGTACAGCATCAGGGTGCCCCCTTCTTTAAAGGGGTACCCTGATGCTAATAAGCTCCCCTGTCTACAGACCCCCACAACCACCAGGCCAGGGTTGTGGAGAAGAGACCCTTGTCCCCATCAGCATGTGGACACTGTCCCTATGCTGAGGGTGTGTCGCTTGGTAAGCCACAGGGAGGGAGGAGGGGGAACTCAATTACCCCCCCCTCCCTTTCCTGCCCTGCCAGGCCTGCGCTCAGATCAAAGGTCTGGTAGGAATTTATGGGGAACCCCATGCTTTTTCCCCCTATTTATTTGGGGTGGGGTTCCCCTTAAAAGTCCTACCAAGCCTAAAAGGCCTGGCAAGGCTTGTGGAGGGACCCCACGCACTTTTTCCCTCCATTTTTGGGAGGTGGGGGTTCCCTTAAAAGTTCTACCAGGCTTAAAGGGCTTGATATGGCTTTTAGGGGGAACCCCGCACACTTTTTTTTGTTTACATTTTTTACTGTGGGGTCCCTTCCTACCAGAATTAAAGGGTCTGTTATGGATTAGGAGGAGACCCCCATGCTGTTTTGTTTTTTTGTTTTTTTAGTAAAAATTTAAATTAAAAATAAATGTCAGTCCTGCTGCAGCAGGTTCTATACATTATACAGATGTGCAACTTTGCAGGTAGCTTAAGGGGACCCCCCAGGCATAATACTTAAAGGATTAAAGGATTTTTTTCTTTTTCTTTTTTTTTTTAAGCAATGATAAATAACTGTCTCTTTATAAATGGTCCTTTTTGAAAAAATGTTTTCACTGATTCACTGATTCATGTCCCTCAGGGCAGTACCCATATCCCTTTTATGGCCAATATCGCAAATGCTTTGAAATGGCAACCAAAACCTGAAAGACGTGGAAGAAAGCGAAAAACTACCATTCGAATGGATAGAAGAATAGCCAAAATGGCAAGGACTCAGCCAACAATCAGCTCCAGGAAGATCAAAGAAGGTCTAAAGTTACCTGTGAGTACTGTTACAATTAGAAGACGCCTATGTGAAGCCAAGCTATCTGCAAGAAGCCCCCGCAAAGTCCCACTGTTGAAAAAAAAGACATGTGCTGAAAAGGTTACAATTTGCCAAAGAGCACATTGGCAGGCCTAAAGAGAAATGGCGCAACATTTTGTGGACTGATGAAAGTAAGATTGTTCTTTTTGGGTCTCTTTTTGAGACGGTTTTGTCAGACGACCCCCAAACACTGAATTCAAGCCACAGTACACTGTGAAGACAGTGAAGCATGGTTGCGTAAGCATCATGATATGGGGATGTTTCTCATACTACGGTGTTGTGCCTATTTATCGCATACCAGGGCTCATGGATCAGTTTGAATACATCAGAATACTTGAAGAGGTCATGCTGCCTTATACTGAAAAGGAAATGCCCTTGAAATGGGTGTTCCAACAAGACAACGACCCCAAACACACCAGTAAACGTGCAACATCTTGGTTCCAGACCAACAAGATTGACGTTATGGAGTGGCCAGCCCAATCTCTGGATCTTAATCCAATAGAAAACTTGTGGGGTGACATCAAAAATGCAGTTTCTGAGGTAAAACCAAGAAATAGAGAAGAACTGTGGAATGTAGTCCAATCATCCTGGGCTGGAATACCTGTTCACAGGTGCCAGAAGTTGGTTGACTCCATGCAACACAGATGTACAGCAGTTCTCAGAAACAGTGCTTATACAACTAAATATTAATTAAGTGATTCAAAGGAAAGCAAAATCTTCAAACATTTTTCAGTTTATATAGTGAATGTTTGAGTCTGTAAAGAAGAATACAAACACTGCTATTTTTTTGAACAGTCTAATATTCACTTTTCTTCAATACAACACAAATTTGATATATTTTTCTTCATGTTTTGATTTGGAATAGAATGTGTAGATTTCCCAATGCATTTGTGTGTATGGAAATAAAAGCTACTAGAAGG